CTGTAATCCATGGTAGTTTCCCTTCTCTTTGCTGCTCTTCCTTTTACATCTGTATCTATTCTCATGCTGGGCAGAACTTCTGTTTTGCAGCAGACTGCCTTGTCTCTGGAATGGATACATGGTGTCTGTGTGTAGGTTTGCAACCTGAGCCAGCACTAGAGGAAGAGGCACTCAGCTGCAAAGGGAAGTTCTCCCCAAGCATGAGAAGAGATAAGGATTTAAAAGGAAGAGCAGCAAAGAGAAGGGAAACTACCATGGATTACAGTAAGGCACACATTACAGTATTGGTTTATGTTAAAAAAATCTGAGGGTTTAATGTCACTTTAAATACTGTAAGCTCTGATGCAACCAAGATATAAAGGTAACCCTAAAAGTGCCACAGAGAACCACAGTTGATTTGTGAGAAACTGCCCATGTAACAAGTACATCCCAGACACCCCTAAGCTGGGTTTGATAAAGCAGTGGCAAGAACTTATTGCTGGAAAAAAACAATTAAATCTCATATGGAGTTGCCACAAGGTAGGAGAGACAAAGCAAACATAAGGATTTAAGAAAAAATAAGGATTCTTGCCCAGTGTTTCTCAACCTTTTTTAGTCACGGCCTTATCCTAGACAGGGGTCTGGTAAGGATTTTAGGGTGGGAGCCCAGGCAAAAAAAAAAAGATGACGTGGAGTTTCCCCTTCACATCAGAGTTCTCCCTTTCACACCAGAAGCTCCCCTTCACATCATGAGCTCCCTGCACATCACAACCTTGCTCCTTTACAGTAGGGTACCGCCCTTAAGTAAAAATGTGACGGCACCCCCGACAAAGCCAGAAGGGTGCCAGTGTTCTACTCAAATGTATGACTATTTGTGCATCTGTACTTTTTTGTTTAGTTAACTTTTAATTAAAATATATTCTACCCCTTCAAAACAAAGTAATTTTGTTTGCTTTTCCATTCCAGTTTGTTAAACTGCAACATGTGGAAAAGTGCAAGGGGTGTATATTTCTGTAAACCCCAATAATTAGGTTTTTTTTACTCTTGAAGGAGGCACTCTTACACTAATTCCAAACAGCACCGTACCAGACTTGAAGAATACAAAAAGTGTTCAAGTTACATGAGTAACATTATCTCTCCAAGAGAAAGCAGATATGTCACCTGGTCCCGTTGATAGCAGTACATTTCATCTGCACGTGTGTGCTTATGTTGGCTGTCCTGTGCTATATTGTTATACTAATATAGGCTACTTTAGTTTAAAAGATGAAGAACATTTTAAAACCAACAAAAGCACAACAAAATGACAAAAATGTTATGGCTCTGAATGGAGCAACTACAAAAAAAAAAATCTGATTTTGATTTTTGACCTAAGATATCCCATAACACATAAAAGTACAAAGAAGGGCAAAAACTAATATTAAATAGCATGATGAAAATGTGTATTTATAAAAGTGCAATATGGGTTGAAACTCTATAATTGTTAAACAAAATCTGTCCTGATAAGTAGGGATGCACGGATACCGATACTAGTATCGGTATCTGTGCTGATACCGAGTATTTGGGCGAGTACTTGCCCAAATGCTAGGGTGCCTAGCCCGATATGCTCCCTCTTCACGTGTGGCGAGAGAGCATTGGGCCGACTTCCCGGACAATCAGGATGCCAGGTAGCGTGTAATGACGCGCTGCCCGGCTTCCTGATTGGTCGGGAAGCTGGCCAATCAGGAAGCTGGGCGCCGTGTAATGACGCAGCACCCGGCTTTCTGATTGGCTGGGAAGCCGGCTTCGTGCTCCCTCATCATCTCATGACGAGGGAGCATGGAGCCGGCTTCCCGGCCAATCAGGAAGCAGGGTGCCGTGCCATTACACGGTGCCCAGCTTCCATGATTGGCCAGCAAGCCGACTCCATGCTTTCTCGTCACATAGTGACGAGAAGCATGGGACGGCTTCCTTGTTAATCAGGAAGCCAGGTGGCGAGCCATTACACACCGCCTGGCTTCCGCAATGGGACTTCCAGTACTCGGTATTTGGTATCGGCGAATACCGGGAAAAAAATATCGGTACTCGAAGAGTGCAGCCCCTGCTGCACTCTTCTGTTGAGAATGCTACATTTCTGACTATGACGCCGACTTTCTTGCTTCAGTTTTTTAAATCATGTTACCACAAGTCTGACTTGTCTCCAACATTACTCATGTGTGTGTAGTTGCTGAGAATCAGTAGTTTGGTAAACACTATAGTGAGTGTTTATTATTCATGTTTTAAACCAGCTCTGCCTGACCAGGGTGCCATGACACCTTGGGATGCCTTTTAACTTTCTCAGACGTGCCTCGAAATTTCCACACAGCGCCATGGCTTTCCATGTTGCAGGCAGGCCGGCTGCCAGCACCATGGAATTGAATTACACTAATCCAGACAGGGTGGGACCACTTCAGAAAAGGGTGGAAATTCACCTCCGTCTAGGCCTGCTTCGCCTCCCGCCCTCTACCATGCTGCTGCAGCTCTGGCTCCTGATGTGGTTGTAGAACTTTGATGTGAAGGAGGGACTGAGGACACTGAAGGGGGCTTCTGATGAGAAAATAGAAATCTGATGTGAAAGGGGGGCTCTGGTGTAAAAGAGGGCTCTGATGCATAAGGAGGCTTCTGATGTGAAGCGGACTCCTGATGTAAAAGGGGGCTTTAGATGTGAAGAGGACTTCTGATGTGAAGGAGAACTTCTGATGTGAAGGAGGGCTTCTAATTTGAAGGACGGAAACAAGGGAAATCTGATGTGAAACAGGGAAACTCTCATGTGAAAGCAGGAGGCTCATGGTGTGAAGGGGGGCTCTGATTTGGAAGGGGGACTTTTATGTGGAGGAAGGAACCCCACTTTGTTTTTGCAAGAAGTCCCCCTAAAAATCCATTACATTTTAGACCGGGGTGCCTCAAGATTTTGCATACCTTTTAACCCTTTTGCGGACAGTATGACGTAAGACATACTCCAAAGAGACTATAGCCGCTGGGACTGTGTTTAGCTGTTTAAAGCCGAGGGTTGGCTTCACACTGGAAGCAATTCTGGTGGCTGAGCTGCTGCCAGATCACTTCAAGGGGCTGGTGAAGTGTGTGCACCCCCAGTCTGACATCCCCTGCCTCGCTTCCCAGGCTCCGCTGCCCCTCCTGCGGGCCGGGACCAGCATCACGGGTGTTGGCGCATAGAGGAGAGAGAGACTGTTCACTGATCTCCTCCCCGATTGCATCACTTCCTATTCTTCAGCTGTCATTCCCTGGCTAGAGAAGCTGAGGAAAAAACTATTCAAGCGTGATCTGCTCTTGACTAAATTCTTTGCAGTGAAGGTGTGACAATAGGGGTCCAATAGACCCCTAATGTCACCTTAAAGAGTACCTGTCACCACCTAATATACTATCACATTGGGGGATTGTAAGCACACCTATGAGATAGCAATGTCACCTTAAAGAGTACCTGTCACCACCTAATATACTATCACATTGGGGGCCTGTAAGCCCTCCTATGAGATAGCAAAACATAAAAGTTTAAAAAAAAATGTTTAAAAAAAATAAAAGTAAAATAAATGTAAAATGCTAGGTATTGCTGCGTTTGTGCAATAATTCTAGCGCCAATATCCATGCTAACTCTAAACTGATGACCTGTATGGGCTTTTAAAGCATCGCCTATGGACAATTTAGTGTACTGTAATTTGTTGCCGTTTCATGGGCGCATGCAGTTTTTAAACTTGGCATATCTATTTACTCGGCATAACCTGATATTTTATTAAATAAATGGGTATTGTATTCTGTTCTTGGGCACTAAATTTAACCTAAGTGTAATTTTAACTGAAATTCTGGGTTTGATAAAGAGTTTTGCTAATATCATGCGACGTAAACATTTGCAACTGCCACTATTTTATTCTACAGGGACTGTACTTTCAGGCTATATAACTCTCTGGGGCTTTAAGTAATTTGCGGATTATAACATGTGTGCAAAAAAACACCATGCCAGTGAAAAGGTTAAAGGGTGTAGTGACTGAAAAAAGGTAGAGAAACACTGTTTTGAGTGTAGATATCAGCAACAAAAAGGACTAAAATACGTGGATGATGAGAGGCATTCCAGAGCATAAATCTGAGAAAAGGGCATTTATAAGATCCCAATTATGGAAAAAAAAAATCATATTCACAAATTCTTGGTCTATACACTATAGTCCAAACTGCAAATATATAATATTATTCATACAATAAAATGCATTGTTCACACAATGACCACTATCATACCAGGGAGCTCATATAGAAAACATCTATCTCTTCTCAATACAGAGAAACAGCAATTTCTACTTTGCAGTGGGGATAGTATATTAGCAGTCAATCTAAAAAAGGCTGATCCAATACACTGCATCTTTATAAGCTAATCAAAGGCATTTATGCTATTTAAAGGAAATTTGCTTAATGGAATTTCTATCTACATATGTAAATTGGAACTTGGTTTTCTTTTTAAAACGGAGAAGGATAGAGCTTGATCCCCCAGTGGGTCTTTAAAGTAGTACTAAAGGATAGATATTTTTAATGCATTCTCAGTATTATATTAAAAAAATGCCCAGTGTCTTCAGTGTGCCCAAACTTAATATGTTCCTTAATCACCGCCAGCAGCTCCAGGTCCCACTTCTCCAAACTTCCGGGTTGTGGAGCGTGCTCCCACTGTGCTTCATAAACAAAATACTCATTCACACTGCCAGTTGGGAGCGTGCACGCTGAAGACACCTTAAGATACAAACTTGGGGAAGGGGGTGTTGGCAGACTTGAAATTCCAGCTAACCACAGGCTAAAAGTGAAAACAGGACTGCAAACAATATAAATGCTGAGGTTTGCAGCATCATATTCATCAAAGTCCTGTATGTCTGGCATGACTGTGATAGATCAGTCCTGGCTTTTTTTAGTCAAGCTTGTATTGACACTGGGTAAGGTGAATTTGCCTGCATATTTCTATGGAGAATCCACTAGAGGACCGACGATACAGCATTGCTGCATTAATTAATTACCTGAAAGCTTCATGAGGAGCTCAGATGCTGCTTTGACAGAGATATCCTGTGTCAATAGGTTTGGCTGTGTTTCCTTGGTCTTGGCTTTATCTGGTGTGCTGGAGAGGCGTGCCTCGGATTCATGGCTGTAGGTATAACCAGAATGTGGAGACAGGGAACTGCTAAGCTCTTCATCCTTAGGTTCTTCTTTTACTTTAACGGTCAGAGTCAGAGTTTCCTTTTGATTTGCAGCTGAGAAGAAAGAAAGAGTATTATGTAAGAGAGGTAATGCACTGTTTATTCCTAGACCAAATATCTCTTCTGAAATGCAAAGAGGAAGTTTTATTTCAAAGTATGCAGTCTAGAAATTTATGTAGCAGTTTGGTAATAAATTGTATTCAATTTTAGTTACTTTTTCAAGCAACTTCAAATGCAGATTATTTAGAACCATACTTAGAATAGATGCTGCTTATTGATGTTTGAAAGTTTTAGTTTGCTACAGAATCAGCAGGTCCCCTGAGAACGAGCCCTGATATCCTGTTTTAGGGTGGCTCATTTCCCTTGCAGGGTCCTATGGCGCCACGCTTGAGTGTGCTAGTAAGCTGTGTGTGTTTCCAGAAACACACAGGCACAGCAAGTCGCTCCACTCCTCCCTGCTCCCCACTACCCATCCTCCAAGCTATTGGATAGGCAGCTGCTGGAGACTGTGCTGTCCCTTTTGATCTTGTACTTACCTGGAAGTTCAGGCAAGCAGAGCTGAGAGAGTTAGAGCCAGCTGTTCTGAAACACGGTGACTAAGTGTTTGGCCAAAAATATTAAGAGATACGTTGCTGAGCAATGTCTGTTTTATCTGGATTCATTACTGAAAAAAGTTTGAGAGTTTAATCAGGAGTTCAATCTTAAAAATGCAATTAAGTACCTTCACTATTACCAAAAAGTTCTCTTATTTGTGTATCACTCAGCTGTAGATTCTCAAATCATCTCTGAATTGGTGCTGACACTGTCCTCCCTTCTGGAGGGTGGCTACTTTTTTCCCATGGTCCCTGTGTCTGTTGTAAAGTAGCCACCACACCAAGCCCGGTCCCGTGATTTGAGGATCTACAGCTGAGTTATACACAAATAAGATACATTTTTGTTAATCGTTAGGATGCTTGAATGCATTTTTAAGATTTAACTCCTGAGTTTAGTGTCACTTTAACCTTTTTAACATGGAGCAACCCTTGCAATTCATTTTTGGACTCAAGGAACCCCTGTAATAATTACTATAGTCACAGCTCATCGATTACTATAGTTACTATAATTACTATAGTCACAGCTCATCGATTATTAGCGTTATCAGTGAGAAGAATGCGCCATACATTTGCGGTCAGTGGGAAGAATCCCCCCTTACAGATAGCGAAAAAGATCATTGGCCTCAGTGGTTACTTATCTGGGAGGCAGAAATTGCTCATGGAACCCCTAGGGCCTAGAGGAACACTGTCCTATACCATTACAGCCACAAGTCAGTTTTCACTCAAAACAAAGATGGCATTCTCAGAAATGTTTCATTGAAAACATATATAGTTCACAATTCTCTAACATGAAAAAAAAGTATGAATGAAGCACTAGCATGCATTCAAAATTATTATACATTAGGAAATAAGCTATTGGCATAGTAATAACCTGCTGGGTTTTTTTTTTCTTCTAGGCCTGGCTCTACTGGATACGGGCAAGCAGCAGGCCGCATCTTAAGCAACAATATTAATAGTACAGCATCAGCAGGCTTGGAAAGAATGGTTGATGCTGTTGAAATAAAAAGTCATTGTGACTTGGACAGTGTAGATAAGGCAAAATGTAAAGGCTAATATGATCTCCTTGGGCTTTGTCCAAAGTAATATGTCACACTGTGTGTATATTCAATTTGCAAGAGAAGCCAAGGGTTGAAACACTAAATTGTAATAAAAGTCTCCCTGAACTATGTGAGCCCATGGCTTATAATCACGTTTGGACCATTGTCAGTATTTAATAAAATTCAGCCTGGTCGATCAGCACTTTAATTATAACTGTTACAGTAGGTTTAATTTTAAACAGGGGCACACAACATAATGAATGGAGAATAAACAGATATTACTGGGTGAACAGAGCTGTTTTGAAAATGATATTCTTACTGCAGATACAGATGCAGTAGTTATCAAGTTAAAACAATTAGAGAAGTTGCTTACCGAATATCGACAACCTCAGCATATGTCCATATTGTACACAGCTTCCTGGCATATTTATGGATGGGCTGGCACTGCTTTTGCACAAGAGGGCTTGGTTCATGTATGAAATTATCTGAAAGAGCTGTCTGTATTGCCATTACCAAAAACATTATCTTCTGGTTTCTAATGCAGGTTAGAAGACAAGAGGACAGGTTGCTACTGGGAACCTAGTTCTTCCTTTAGATATTTCCATACATGAAGTGCTCTGTATGGGAATTTGAAAACAAATTGTAAGATTGTGGCTCTCATATAGTATATGTGATTTGTAGCAGTTTTAGGGGATGATTGTTTTATTCAGCAAAGGTGTAATGTTATAGGTGTTTATATGTCTTTTTTATTTTGATGGAACACTTCTTTGGTAAAACAAAAATAGGAAGTAGTGAGGTTAAAGTGACCCAGTCTTGAATTTTAAACTTTCCAAAACAAATACCTTGCATAAGAAGACTGCAAATACTTGCCTCCTGCTGTCCATGTCCTTAATACTGCTTTATTCTAGAGGAATGGTCCCCTGAGGTCTGCTGGCTCCCTCTGCTGACTTATACATCACTAGAGGAGACAGCAATGATGTGGTGGTCAACAGGAGGAGGATCCGAGGTCACTGGCTCCTCCAGCTGGCTTATACATCACTAGAGGAGACAGCAATGATGTGGAGGTCAACAGGAGGTGGCCACGAGGTGACTGGCTTCACAGGGACCAAGAAGACTGACACTCCCGGGGGGTCGATTTCCTAGCAGACTTCATGGGACTGACTGGTGTTTGATAAGGAAAGGTAAATATTTACAGCAATGTTTTGCAGGGTATTTATTTAGGAAGATTTAAAATTAATGACCGGGTAGCTTAAAGGTTGAGGCCTGGTACACACCTGCGCGTACCGGGGAAGCGTGTTTGTGCACGTTTGCTGCTCTGCCCCATTGATTTAAATGGGGCCATATACGCGCAGCAAACAACTCTCCTGCACTATTTTGTGTGACGCGTTCGTGCATGTAGAAATGTGGCGGAAAACCGCACGACTTGTCGACCACATTTGGGGTGCCATTAGAAATGAATGGCAAGCAAATGTGCTTTGTTTTTGTGCACGTTTCCGCAAACACACTGCGATCACGCACAAAAACGAGTAAATCGTCGCGCGTGCTCATAACCAAGGGGAAAGATGTTTGAAAATATCAGGTTTTATGATCTGCACTTTCATAATTGAAGCCAAACACTACTGACAGAACTTTATGAAGTATTGTACATCATTGCTAGTGCATCTAAGCATAGTCAACTTTTTTGGCACATTCACAGTGTTGGGCAACCTTACATGAAACAATAGTATTAATTGGTAAAATTCACATCTTGCTCAAATCTTATAAATAGAGGTTTTCCCCTCTTGCCCACACTTTCTAAAACATGAGTTGTGATCTGAAATAAGAAAATATGCTCTTATTATCACTTAATGACTTCCGCAAAATAAATGTGTGTAGACTTAAAGTGTTGCAAAGTCAAAACATTTTTTTTGTTTGTTTTGGAAACAGTAGGTAATGGTTACCATTTTTGTTTTTTTGTCCTTTGAGGGATCCTATCCAGGAAGAAGATTGATCCAAAGTTAGGGGATATCCCCTCTTAGACAAGTGTCACAAGAAAAGGTATACCCATTGGAGGATTTATCCTCATCTCCTATTTCTACAATAATCCAAAAATTTTGGATTTGCCATCACTCTCTGTATCAGAAACAGTGGCGAGGTTGAATCTCCCTAACAGGGACCAGGTCACCAACCAAAGAAAAAAAGTCTGGACCTTATTTAAACTTTATGAAAGGAAGGTATGACATGTCAATCTTGTAGAGCTATTGAAATTTAATCCTCAGCATCAAGCTGCACCTCATGTGGAATATATGTTGCACATAGTGAAGTCCCACCCCCTTTCATAGCCCTGCCAAAGCAGGGACTAAATACACTCTGCCACCACATGTAATATACAGTAAAGCCAGTTGAGGACTTCTCATTTGAAACTTCCTCCTAGTGGGAAAGGCAAGCTCATGCATGTGCTCCAATAACAATTACCAAGGGAGAAACTGAAAACCAGAACAAAGGAATTAGTAGCCGTTACACAAAGCAGCCAGGTTCCTTTCTAAAAATGAAACAAGGATTCAGAATGCTTGACATTGACAAAATCAGTTTTCATAAACTATTTCCGATTAATCGAACTCAATAATCGGCTAACTAATCGATTTTGAAAATAATCGTTAGCTGCAGCTCTACTCCAGATCTTGTGCCGCCATCAATGAACTTGTCCCATTTGCCACTGCCTTTTCACTGTATCTTAAAGACAAAAGGCTGACGTATACAGGCTGCATTCATAACTCATGGGAGACCATGTAGCTGGCTGTGATCCTGCATGCCTGAGAGGTTTACAGGGAACTCTTCTTAAAAGCTCCTCAGGCACTGTACCAGTTCCCGAACAAAAGGGTTCCTGCTTCATTTATTGGATGCTGTCCCTAGCTTTCTTTATTCTTCACTGTTTCAGTTGCTTCTGTTAACCATTTGTCTTATAACCAAACTAGCGTCCTCCCGTTACCCAAAGCTCAGTATACCGCGAGTTACACTTGTCTTATAACCAAACTCACTCTTCCAGTTACTTTTGGTGGCAACTTTTGTGTATCTATCATGGTTCCTGCAGTTACCCCAGACAGCATCCATTCTGTATTCTGCTTGAAGTTCTAGTTTCTTTTGGAGATATCCACTCCAGGCAGTTCATTCTGAATCCTGCTTGCCAGTCTCAGTGGCTCCTGGAGACAAATGCAACATTGGAATTGCCATACAGATACATTTGTTGGGAGCAGTGAAGGAGAAGCAGTTCATTAGGGTCTGCACCTTTATGAGAGCCTATATCTATCTCTGGAAGTACTTAGGATTGACTATAACTCATGGAAGAAGGTGGACAATCATGTTCTAATCTAAAATATAATAATTGGGAAATCTATATTTTTATAAACATGCTCAATATGTACATATAAAAGAGTGTCTCCCATGG